GATTATTAAATTTCATTAATTGCCCAGTCAATCTACATTTTCTTGTGCCCCACTCAATTTTATGTCAGTCACAGGGAAAATCTTGGATGGAAACTTGTCCTGCTGTTGGGAGTCTCTTGGGGTCTGGAGAGCCAGAGAGAGACCCACACTGCACTTTCAGAAAGGCCCTACGAACCACCCCCACTAGAATCAAGACCAAATGGCAAGAGCTCCCAGTCAATCAAATCTCAATCTGGATGCAACACGCATGAAACACAAGTGAAGCTAGAACAACAAGCAACTACTTAAACACGAGCATGTAGTGAAGATGCTTATTGTCATACCTCAACTACAAACAAATGCAAACCTGTGAACACATGTGTTTTCTTAATTCTTTTATGGGTGCTGTGCTTTGGTACTGACTGCATGCCACCAGCTCGGCTGGAGACAGGCTTCTGATCCTTTGCCATGGTCCTTTGACCTAGCATGAGAGATGAGGATCCAAGGGTGCAGCCTATTGAGTGAATGTATGACCCTTTAGAACGGAAATTATGAGGAATTTCTTCAGCCAGTGTGTTGTGAATCCGTGGAACTCGCTGCCACAGAAAGCTGTGGAGCCAAGTCATTGGGTGCATTTAAGACAGAGACAGATAGGTTCTTGATTGGTAAAGGGATAAAAGGTTACAGGGAGACGGCAGGAGGAGAGTGGGTTAAGAAACATATCAGCCACAATCAGATAGCAGAGCAGACTCCGGGGCCAAAGGTAGCAGGAACAGCAGATGCTGGAGAATCTGAGATAACAAAGTGTAGAGCTGGATGAACACAGCAGGCCAAGCAGCATCAGGGGAGCAGGATGGCTAACGTTTCGGGCCTAGACCTAAAACTTCATTTCTGAAGAAGGGTCTAGGCCCAAAACGTCAGCCTTCCTGCTCCTCTGATGCTGCTTGGCCTGCTGTGTTCATCCAACTCTACACCTTGTTATCTTAGACTCCGGGGCCAAATGGCCTAAATTCTGCTCCTACACCTTATGTTCTTATGGCATTCAGTGTTTACTAGTCTTATGAAAGTGAGATGGTGCAGTGGTGATATCATTAGACTAGTAATCCTGAGATCCAGGCTATTATTCTGGGGATATGAACTCTCACCAGAGTCGTGAAGTTTTACTGCAGCTGAACAGGGCCTTGGTTAGATTACACTTGAAATACTGCATAAAATTTTGCACTTCTTGTTTGAAAAAGAATATAATTGCATTGAAGCTGTTCAGAATAAGGCTATTTTACTCATTTCAAGATGAATGGCTTATCTTATTGAAGAAAGGTCAAACAGATTAGCATTGACATACTGGAGTTTAGAAATTTGAGAGCTAATTTAATTGAAATATATAAGTTTCTAAAGGAACTTGACAGGGTAGATTCTCAGAGGCTGCTTCCACTTATAGGAGAGACTAGAACTAAGGGGCACAGGTTATGAATAAAAGTTCTTACTTTTAATATGGAGATAAGGAGATTTTATTTTTCTCTCAGAGGTCATCAGTCTGTGGAATTCTCTTCCCCAGAAAACAATTAAAACTGTTTGTTTAAGTTTTATGGGGAACAGATAGAGAGCAGAGTTGAGGTGGTAGATGGTGAAACTTGAATTCAATAATGAAAAAAATCTGCAATCTAAAAACTAGCCGACAGTCATTATGTAACCATTTTAAAAAAAAACACACCTGATTCACTAATAGCCTTTAGGGAAAGAAATGTACCATCTTCACCTGATCTAGCCAACATGTGTCTCCAGACTGATGAGTACTACTCTCCTACCTGCCCTCTGGGTAATTAGAAATGGGCAATAAATGTTGGCTTTGTGAGTGAATAAAAAAAACCTGCATGATGCACTTCAACAACTCATGAAGACTCCTTTAACAACACCTACAAAGCATATAACATCTACTACAAAGAGCAGTGTATATTTGGAAACAGCAACACATATACATTCCCTCCAAGTCACACACCCATCCTGACTTGGAAGAATATTGGGCATTCTTTCACTGTTGCTGGGTCTCAATCCTTGAATTCCTTATGCAACAGTATTATGGGTTTACCTTACTAAATGAACTACAACTGTTCAAGAAGACAGCTCAATGCCACTTTCTCATGGGCAATCAGGAGTGGGGCAATAAATTCTGACCTAATCAGTGATGCCCACGTCGCATGGTTGAATAATAAAAAAAAAAAACCTGTAGAATACATCCCATCTGGACCTGGGAGTTTGTCTGATACAGTATCCACAGCCTCTTGGGAGGGAAGGGACAAAATTCCAGATTCTAAATTCCATGAAATTCCATTACTTTGCTGAAAACATGCTTCTTGACTTCACTCCTAAAAGGGCTAGATTGAAGTTTTATTTCAGATCCTCTTGTTCTGCACATCAGTGACCACACAAAAGTTTCTCAGCATCTACCCAATTAAATCCCTTTATTGATTTACGTATTTCCGTCAATAGCTTCACATAATTTTGAATTGAAGGGAATTAAGGAATCTTGCCATTATAATTTAACTCTGTTATGTTTCTGTGAATCTGCAGTAATTGCCTTCCAACGTCAAAATACTACATCTTTGCAGAGATTCAGCACCCCAAACTGAACACTACCCTTGAATGTGTGGATGATATCAATCTTGGCAACACCTTAAAGAGCTAGCAGGAGAATAACAGAACTCAGAAAGACAGAGAATAACTGAAATAGGCAAATATGTCTGCATGTGAGACTATTGTAGATGAATATGAAATGGTGCACTTTTGGATGAATACAGGGCTGCAGTACAATCTATATTTTGCTACTTTGAAAGGGAGGGGAATGTGTCTGAGTAGAATTATGGTCAAATGCTTCAGTTGAGAAAAACAGAAAGTAAACCAGAAGCCTTGGTGTAAAACTGTTGGAATATAAATAACCAAGATGGAAGCAGTTGTGAAGAAGTGGCCAGAGAATTTGGAGTCAGGAGATATGTGGCTGAGGGGATTGTTATTTGGAATCAAGACAGAAGGTGGACAAACGGTTAATTATCCAGAGTGGCAGAAGTTGGGAAGGATCACTGCTGGGACCATTGCTGTTCACAAGTTACATTAATAACTTGTACTTCAGATTTACTAATGTAATTTCTACAGTTGTGCTTGACTCCAAGTTGGGGAAAGGTTTGTGGCAATAGGTATTGATAAATATTGAGGAGCACTGCAACAAATCACAGGAAGACAATAATAACTTGCAGAATAGGCAAATATTTAGCAAGTGATGTTTAGCACGGATGAATGTAAGGTAATACATTTTGGTGACATTTACTTGGAACCTGCCAAGTCTAGTTGTTGAATTGGAATCAAGGAGTCCCAGAGTTGCAATACACCAATCACACTACATGATTTCAAGGCCAAAAAAATGCCCTAGGTTTTATTTCCAGAAGGACAGAATTGAAAAGTAGTGAAGCCATGCTAAACCTGTAATGAACGTTTTGAGTAAAGCTGGAATACACCATGAAATTCTAATTGCCATTCCATAAAAAAGGATTTGAAGACACTGAAGATGATGCAGAGAAGGCTTACAAGGAGATTACAGAAATATATTGGGAGGGAAATGGTGGACACTGGTACAGGAACCTAAAGGCCCCACGTTTGTGTTCCTGGGTTGGTTCAAATCTTATCCCAGTTGGAATTTAAGTTGTTATTAATAAATCTGGAATTGAAAACCAATTTTGATAGTAATGGCCATGGAACCATCATTAATTATTATGAAAAAAATCTGATTCACTAATGTCCTTTAGACACTGGCCTTTTCGGTAAAATTCAAACGCATATTAGCCTTTACTTAGATAACAAGGTGTAGAGCTGGATGAACACAGCAGGCCAAGCAGCATCATAGGAGCCAGAAGGCTCTACACCTTGTTATCTCAGATTCTCCAGCATCTGCAGTTCCTACTATCTCATTAGCCTTTACTTGTTCGATTCCTTCTCAGCATGTTAGTATTGCTGGCTAGGTCAGCATTTGCAACCTGCCCGAGAAGGTTGATATGAGTCATATGGCACGGAAACAGACCCTTCGGTTCAGTGAGACTCATTTTCAAACACTGACATTTTGATCTACTCCTAATCTCCTTTAGAAAATGCATTTTAATAATTTACCAGCGAGCAGGTTTTGAGGGGAAATAGCTATTCCCATTTTGTGTCAGTTTCTCCACGTGCCAAAGTGAACTCCGTTATTTTGTTTGCTTCATGCGGTCTCATTGACTTGCATTGCTTCTTTATGGGATCTGTCAATCTATACACTCCGGTTCTCTTGCCTCTCTATCACATTTAGACACATTTTCCAACCGGTGGAAAATTACTGTTCTTTTATTTCCATCTTAAACTTTGAGGTTTAAATATTACATTCTTAATAAATGTTATTTTCTTCTTCACGGTTATTTAAGGTGTTCACTGAGTATGGATATCAAAGGATTATGCAAACAGATGAGAAAATGTTGCTTTAGGCACAGCTTAGCCCCATGATCAAAAGACATGGTGGAGCAGGTTCAGGTGGTCCAGCAATTCACTCTAGAATATATCTAGAACATACCTGCTCCTACAGTCATTAAAAACAGAAAATGCAAGGTAGACAGTAACGGCGGCGAAAAAGAAGGAAAACAGGTCGATAGCCTTTTTCTTGTTAGAACTGTCCCTAATGGTCCTCTTATTGATCCAATATTTATTTTGCTTGATCGTTTTGAAGCTCCCTTTCAAAGTGATGTGTGCTTTTCTTTAAAACAAAAGGCTGAAATACTTTAATTTCGTTTGGCTCGATGTGATTTAAATGTAGATACATTCCAAAGCGGTCAGGCTAAATGGCCGAGAGAGAAGTCCAGCGGGAAGGTGCCGGCTCAAAGTCACGCTGACTGCATGGCGAGTAGCAGAGTCACGTTCTGGGAGGTTGGAGCGGTCCCAGTATCAGGCTGACAGGGTTTCTCTCTCTCTCTCTCTCTCTTTGTTTTCGGATTGATGGGCGGCTGGTGCCACAGGAGTGGGAAAGGACAGCGGGAGAGGTAGGAGCCCCACACACACACACCTCCCCCCCCCGCAAGAAGTCCTTCCCGCAGCAGGATGGGGAAGATGACAGGGGGAAGAATCAGAGCATCAGGATGAACGTGCTGCCAGGAGGGGGAGCAGCACAAACCCGATGCAACCACAACAACAACAAACTCCCAGAGCCTCGCAGCTGCAGCAGCGGCGGGGAAGCCGGGCCGAGCAAGGACATCACCGAATGTGACAAGACCAACGGGGATCACAGGGCGCCGGGCAGCGTGCACTCACCTCCTGCCATGGACACTCCCAGCAAGGAGCAGAGAGCGGACGGCAGCGCAGGGCCGCCCAGACTGAGAGCGGAGGCGGAGGACGAAGCGAGCCGGAGTCGCCAGCAGCAGAGCGGCAAAGAGCACAACTCGGTGGGTTTTAAGGTGGAAGCGGCAGGAGCGGGGGACGACGCGATGCTCGGCCAGGAAGGCGAGGAATTCCCGCGGTACAGCACCATGCAGAGTCACTTCACCGCCCTGCTCCAGCCCGGGGTGAACAAGTTCTCCCTGCGGATGTTCGGCAGCCAGAAGGGGGTGGAGAAAGAACAGCAGCGGGTCAAAACTGCTGGCTATTGGATTATCCACCCGTACAGCGATTTTCGGTAAGATTCCCGTGTTGCCCCGCTGGGTTAGATACACTTTTTTTTTTAAAAAATTGTTTCGTGCAAGCATTTCTTTTTTTAAAAAAAAGGGCTGGTTTCTCTAAAAAGCTGAACTTTGTAGTCGCGCTAGGTTAACCTGTCGTTGCTTTTTTGGAGAATCTCCGTAATCCTGAGCAGCAAGTTGCCCGAAATTGAACTCCGCGAGCAGCCTATGGGTCACACCATTCCTGCAAAAAGAAGTCACCTTTTGTTTTTGAGGGTCACATTGGTTAATCCATAACAATCCATTGCAGTCCTTGCAGTGGATTGGATCTGGTTTGAACTGAATACGGCATCTAAAGTGTGTGAGGTGCTTGAGCGAGGGTCAATCAATAATAAAAAGAATAAAGTGAGATCAATGTGTGTTTTGTGTTTATTAGTCCTTGGAACGGCGGCGTTTCTCACGAATAAAGTAACATTTTTTTCCCCAGAAAGAATCGACAATGGAAAGTCAGCCACAAGCTATGGACTGTGGAATTGTCAAACAAATCCATCCCTCTCCTAGCTATTATGAGCCCCGTTTTTGTCTAGCTGTGATCCGAGCTGACTTTTACTGAATCTGTTCACTGAAATAATCTCTTCAGTGCTCGTCTCCCGGCTCTCAGCTCACTGTAACTCTCTAAGGTAGCTGGGGAAACAGATACAGCTCCTACAAACGAGGCAGCTCAGCCCAGGAAGCACCTGGAAAACCCGTCCTCCGCCTCAAGACCAAAATCGAAAACTTCCGACAGATTTCTCTCACGAAATCTCACCGGAGAAGGCCGGCTCAGTGAGGAGAGAGAGTGAGGCGGACACGGAGTTTGGATATGACCAGCTCGCTGCTGCCGAGTGCCCTTCAATACAAACAAACGGGATCGCTTTTCGACCGCAACCAGGGACCTAGAAAGATGTTTCCTCCCAGAACTGGAAGAATTTTGTTTTTAAATTGTTGTAATTTAGAGACAGCAATATTGTCCAAAGGGAAGGACACGGGAAAACGTGTACCGCAGCTGCTTCCCCCTCTCCCTCAATGTGTTGCGATAAAGTCACGGGATGGAGTTGGCAGCACGGCTTAGAATTTAACCGGTCCGCCTCTTGGCGCAAGATTTGTATGTTCACCTACACAATCACGCTCAAACTGGCGCAATATTGCTTTTTATCATTGGGGTCCATTCGCGCCTAGAGTAGCACTGCGGGGTGGGCTTGTGACCGAGGTGAAGCTTCCCCTTTCCGAGAGGCGGTCACGTAGCGCCGTGGGCGCTGTGCTGCAGTGACGGTGCAGGGCTCTCCGCTCCGTGCGCCGCTGCTTCCCGAAAGCACCGCTGCACGACCTTTCTGTTTAACTAGATGGGCATCAATGTCTGGGCAGCTTTCCCGTCCAGTCGCTGACACACACCTTCTGGTAAGCAGAGGCCAGAAACCCAACGGCACGCCCGATTCCCTGTGTTCCCTCCGTAACAGCACATGAGGACTCTGCTCAGATGCTGGATTGCTGCATTTATTTAGCCTCACCGCCTTTCTCGCTGTCTTTGGCAATCATATATAGCGCAGAATTATTAGTTCTAACTTATTTTTGCTGACATTCATTTCTTGTTTCGTAAAGAAGACTTTGGGGATTTTCTTAATTTTCCACTTCGCACGCACAGTGATGCCATCCTGTGAAATATTACTGTACCGTGTACTGGAGATGCCAGCTTGAAAGTAGTGTTAACTGGCAGTGAACCGTACTGCTGGTTCTGCATTTTCAGACAGACAAGTGCATGTAATACTGGTATCTTACTGGCAATTCAGTTTCTAAATGGTAACCAAGAACGTTAGGGGTACTTCTGTTAAGCCGTGTTTTCTAAATCGGTCTGGAATTCGTACGTTTTCTCTACAGTGCCTTAAGACCTGCCGCCGAAAGTGTAAAACTAAGACTGATGTGGACCGGTTCATATATTTCAGGCAGTCGCACACTTCCGACCAAAATACCAAATTTCATCAGTTTGCTGATTTTGCTCCCATTTGTCTTGCAATTAAAGGAAAGTAGCGCAGCCAGTTTAAGACTGTAGCACTGTTTAAGAATTTACAACATTTTAAAAGGTTGTCACAGTTGGAGGATTGTGACTGTGCCATGCAGTATAAGGGCCAGGCTGAAGCAGATTATAACATTCGCTAACTTTTGAGGTTGGGTGAGAACACATTAATACACCGCATGCCACTTGCTATTAATTTGCATAATTTATATTGCATGTCCACACTGTTTGCTTACCGCCCTTAACTATTTTGTGTGTCAGCTGCGGCTGGGTTGGAACACGCTCACTTCTGAATGACAACCTCCGGGTTTCAAGTCCTGCTTCAGGTTTTGAGCACAAAAATCAGGTTAACCGTCTCGTGCAGTACTTAGCATTGCACTGTTAGAGGTACCATCTTGACGACTGGAGGTGCCATCTTTTGGAAGTGATGCTCATCTGCCCATTAGATTGAATATAAAATATCCCATGGTATTAATCTGAAAAAAAGAACTAGGGAGTTATCCCTGATATCCTGGTCAAAATGTATCCTTCAATCAACATCACAAAAACAGATCATCTGGTCATTATCACATTTACTTTGCTGAGTCCAAATTAGCTGTGTTTAGCTGTGTTAGCTTTGTTTCCTGTGTTATAGCTGTAGATTACGCTTTTAAAACTATTTTTAAAACTATTCCATTGCCTCTAAAGCTCTTTGATATGTCTGGTGGTTGTAAAAGTGCTGAATAAATATGCATCTTTAAATTTGATTTGTCATCGGAACCAAATGCTACAGTGTTACATTCTTCCCTTCCTACGCTGCTTCATTAGCTTTGCTGACTTGCAGGTGGCTTTTGAAAATTTCCCTTGTTCTTGTTTTAAGTTTTCTTTTTGTGATTCTCTTTATCTTAATTGTCATCAATCGCATCTTCATTCTCTTTTCTTTCTTGGCTTTTTCTCCATGATTAACAAACTCATAAACCTAACATAAGTATCTTATATGCAGGGAACAAAAGAGATCTCATTGCATTGCATCTACCGTTTACACCTTGTATCCTTTTAGTCACTGTTATTCTTCAATTATCTCGTGGTTAGTTTGATGCCAGTCCAACTTCAGTTGGAGTTCCTGAGAGTATTCCTCCCTTTGCTCTTCTGCTCCTCGTAAATCTTACCCCATTCACCCACCCCACCGCTTTCCGCAGCTCCCATCCCTATCAGCTTTACTGTTTTGCATGTACAGGCACTCTGTCAGGACCTTTCCTTTCCCAAAATTGCTTTTTTCTATCATGTTAACTTCATCCTATTTGCTCATATTGTAATATAGGGTGTGACTTCTTAAAAAAACTTTACATATTTTAATATCATTTATTTTATGTGTGGACTTTTAAATTTTGAATTTGTAACACATATGGGATTTTTAGTGCATCTGAACAGTTTAATGGTTAACTTGCAGATATCTCTGTAGCCATGGTGATTTGTTTAAAAATGCTTGAAGGAGTTAGCTTCAGAACTAATGGATTTTTATTTCTATTGGGAGATTTTATGATCAAAGATAAACCAGCTCCAGTTTAGAAGGTCAGGATGCTTTTCTTTAAGCTTAAGGGAAACATCCACAGCTTGAAAAAGTGTTATTGTCTTTCAAAATATGGGGCAGTTCTGCTGAAGTCCCTGGGTGAAGATGGATGTATAAAACAGAACGCTTGAGAAGGGGTAAAGATGGCCTTTGAATAAGGAGTTTAGTGATAGATGTGATTGATTAAACTTTTAAGAGTTTATTTGACACTGAGAAGATTTATACTCAGGTATATGTCAGCTCTGGAAAAAGGCTACCAGATTTTCCAATTAAATTAAGTCACTCAAGGTGTTAGAAAGAGACTTTGGTTTCTGCTGTGAGTGTTGTATGAGGAGTGTTTTTGGGTACCATAAAGGTAATATTTTTAGATCTGTAAAGTAAATGTTTTTGGAGATTAATGCAAGTATATGTTACCATGTATTTTAAATTCTTTAAGTTTGTGTTGTGAATAGTCTTTATTTTCTACTTTTTTTGTTGAATGAACTTTTGTTTGATAGTTAAAATCGAATCTGCAGCATTGCATGATTATGTTTCAGTAAAATACCACCTCATTAAAACTAAAATAAAACAAAATATGATCTATCAAGTCGGATTTTAGTCTGAAATCTGACTTGTCCAATAATAACACCATTCTGGATCATAACAGTAAGCTTATTCATGTCCGATTCCATTTCACTGATCCAACCTCCTCATCAATCCTCGAGTCAATTCTGATTGGATATGAAGTCTAGAAATCAGTGTGCTACTTCTCCTAATATCAGGACCATGATCATTGGATATCCTGTGGCTTAGGAGTTCCATTAGTTTATGCCACTCAAATGTTTATTTTTCATTAAACTACTATTGTTGATCTGCTTATTTCCTATGCATGACATATATTGTGCATTACTAGTCAAAAATATTAATATTTCTGCACAGTTGCTGTGCAATGTATGAAAAATTCAGCTTTTCAGTGTGCTATTAGTGCAAAATTATCCTGTTTCAGAACATTGCCAAACTAGTTGTCTGGTTTAAGTTCATTAATTTCCAGCTGTTTTACTTCATTGTAATTTGTCTTTTTTGAATTAATTGCAACATCAATGTGATGGTTAAAATTATTACTACGTAATTGCGTGCAAATTCATCACAGAAATGATATTAAAGAGAATTCACTGCATCAAAACAGACCATACAGTCAAACCCATCCATGGCAGTGTGTATTTCCCATTCAAGCAACATTATTGAACTTTTCATTTAATCCTATCAACCATTAACTAATAAGGACCTCTACCAACATGAAGAGGAGTTAAAACTCAATTACTTAAAAAAAAAACTCAATTTCTAAAGGCTCAATGAGAAAGTATAACATTCTGTGTAGTTTTGTGCAATTTAGACCGAAAGGGTGTTCCTTGTTAAGTGTCTGTAGGAGATTGTTTCCA